TTTTCTCTTATGTTGACCATTAGCGTTTCACGCAGTTTCGCCAGGTATCCAGCCCTTACCATGTCGTTGAGGCCATAGTCCACGTTCTCGGGACTCATGTCCGCAGGTGTTGCCGGCAATCCCAAGTTCCATACCGATGCGTATGGGAGTGAATTCATGATGATTCGTGTTTGAGTATACTAGCTATGTACGTATAGCAGTAGTGTACTTGAGTAGCACTGGTGCTTCCTAATATATCAACCGGAAAGTTTGTAATAGTCGATCGGAAACAACGGTGCTCAGAAAGGTATGTGTATATGTTGTAATGTCTTGCCGTAAGTTTGAAAGAACTCGTATGGTCAATTCGATGGTTTACGGAAAACTAAAATCTCGTTCCTTATTACTTTTAATCATAGAAACCGTTTGCATACTACGACACTTTTTCGTCGATAGGATTTCAGCCATACTATTTTTTTATTTTTTAATATCATGATCGTGTTTATTGAATTCCGATCAAGTTTTGTTTTATGAATGCACCGTCATTACAACGAGAACAAAATGACAGATTTTGATTGATATTCATTATGCGCGTTTATTATATAAAAAACAAACCCTTATATATATATATATATATATATATATATATATATATATATATATATATATATATATATATATAATTAACGTATGTTTTTAATATTTAAATAATTATTTAGTAGTGTTTTTGAAATTTTTTCCTATCAAAAACATTACATGTTTTAGCACGCCAGCGAAACGCTTACGCGTCAACAACGATGTTAAAAACAAACCGTCACCAACGACGGGTTAACGAGTGAGCCCCCCCCCAAAAAAAAAAAAAATACAAATTATGTGCGCACAAATAACACGAAATCGATCGATCACTTGTAAATATGCTTCGATCAAAGACATCAACATCGTCGCTGATCGCAACCGCAACGCGTTTTCTTCATCGACACGAATCCAACTGTTTAAACTTCGTCGGTAAACCGATATCGTGTGAACACTCGCACGTACAATTATTCCAAACTCATAGATGACCGTACGCCTGCGAAAAAAGAACGCGGTCGATTTTGCGGGACGCCACTCCGCGTAACACGTACGTCGGTGGATCTTTCGTTCGCGGTCCGAACGCTGTGCCGTTTCTCGACCTTTTTACCCGAATTTTCCGCTTAAATCCGTCGTGCGATCCGACCAACGGCAGAGACCAGGGGCGGCTTGTTAGGGGAAACTTCGATAATGCGTCTCCCCTTAAAAATAATACAGCTACTTGTAAATAATAACTATTTAAAAATAAAAATGTTTGGAAATATTTTTATTTTAATTGAAAATTTGTTATACCGTTATCTTTGTTTATTATTATAAATTAAAAGCCACAAAATCTAAAACCAATAAACAGTTATTTCGACAGAAATACTATTTTAATAATTTCGATAATGGTCGCCGTTTCAGCGCAATTGTTGTCCGCGACAGGTTCAACTGTAACATGTAACGTTTCGGCTTGTTGGGCGGAGAGGGCTGGGGTGAATAAACCGCATATTATGGACACCGATGGCGTATCTAGGGGGGGGTTCGGGTCCGGACCCCCCCATTTAAATTTCTACATACTCAATGGTTTAATAGTAAATACTATAATAATAGTATATAGTTGTATTTTAATTTCCCATTATTTTTAATATACTAAGTTCATAGATTATATAATATACCTATAATGTATAAACTATACTATAGTATAATTACAGTAATTTATTGGTACTATAATTATAATTAGAAACAGATAAAATAAAAATGTTGGACCCTCTCCCCATAAATAAATCTTGGGTACACTCCTGAGAGACACTATTGAAAGTGGGTTCACGACAATGATTTCCGTGCCACCATGCCTTTATTTGTCGCTGTACGCCGTCTTCTGCGTTTATCAGTAAGTTCGCAGTTAAAAAAGATCGCTGAACTGAATAGGTTTATAAAAGAAATTTAGTATTAAATAAGTTAAAATTATTAACTAAGTATTAAATTTGGTAATAAAAATAATTAATATTCCACTAAAATGGTTTTTTCTTGTTTGTCGTTATTCGGATTAATGTTAAGCGATTTAAGTCTCCTTGGAATATTAACTACGAGCCGCTACTGATGGAGATGTCTACGCGTCAAGCCGGGTCGCCGCTCGCGATCCCTTCACGCGGGCACATGTCGGCCGAGTACCCGTCGGACGTGGGTGCGATGCACCAGGGCTAGTGCACTATTGTGGTCTCGTCCAAACATACAGTAACCCATTTGTTAACTACTTTTGTTTTTATATCTGATATATATTTGTACATTATCGAAAGGTAACATCTTAACAGGCGAACGAGTAAGATAACAAATGTTTTCCTAGAGCACAATTGTATTATATCCATTCAATATATTCATGTTTTTGTTTACTTTTGCATGCAAATCAAAAACTCTGTTCAAACTGGTTCTGATTAGTGTCAGTTCGTGTTAGTTTCATCGGTGCTCTCCACCAATCATTTATTGCATTTAAAAACATTTATGTAGACTTTCTCCGAAAACGATCGTAGATCATTATTGTTGATCCAATTTTGCATATTGCTCGATTTAATGAGAAACGCGTAAAATGTCGGTCTGGCCCATCAGGATGTCCGGCGATCACCGAAGGCCCTGAGATTTATTCTTAAAATTAAATGAAAGTAATTGTTTTTTTAAACTAATCATGTTATTCTTATCTTAATCTTGAAGTATTGTTGACGTGATTTCATTAGGTATAACCTCTACAGCTTATACATTTTCGTTTTCTTAATCAAAACCGAACGAATATAAATATAAATACTTTTATAAATTTTATATTAATGTTTTTAACGATCATATACGCGATGATTCGATAATATTGGCTTTGTGAAGAAAAACCAAAATAAGTTAAAATTTGTAGTTGAAATCGAGCGTAGCTATAACAAATTTTTTTTTTTTTTTAGTTGATGGTCGCTTTTTTTCGGAGGTTCGATCATGAACTAGACCAACGCTGAGTGTATATTTTTCGAATGGAAAAGAAACATTTGGAAATAGTGTTGTCCAATGGTAATTTCGGTAGTTTTGTACGACGGCGCAAATGAGTATGCAATTTAACACCATACGTGCACTGTGTTCAAATCTGTGTTACCTGCGTTTCCAAACTAAATTAATAAAACACAAATACATTCTGATCTAATAATTGAAACCTTTTAAGCAAGAAAGCAATTCATTAATTTTCACGCTGGTTTAGATCATTGGTTATAAGACGATTCTAAGTATACATACATTTTATAATTAATTGTCCGTTCGATTTTTCATTATATCGCAATGCAACGCGTGTTCTAAAAAGATTATCGAAAAACTCATGTGAAATATTATTTATTAGAATCATGGTTGGCGTCGGTTAAAGTAATATAAGCTCATAGTTTAAATCTTAACGAGATGTATTTCTATTGTAACCAATCGTAATACGGTATTGATTTTTCAATGTTCGGATCAGAATATCTCTTGTGTGACGGCGTAAGGCTATGCAATTTAACACCGCGCGTGCACTGTGCTCAATTACGAGGGTTTGTCGCCGGCTGAAACATAACAATATTTTATTTAACATAATTTTAAGTGTAATAATTATGTTATGCTAAAAATAAAAACAACGACCACTTAATAATGAAACGTTGACTTAATAATGAAAAAAAAAATAAAAAAAATCATATTTTGAGTGTTATCTTGCGGGGGTGCGAAATCTTTATAAGAATCCAATGCGTCCATACAATATTTAGATGCACTCAGGACGCACACTTACTCATTATTTATCCTTTTCGTTAAAATAAATCCTCGCTATAGATGTCGTATTTCATATTCGTATTACTAGGCACGTTTATTCTTGTAGTTTTCGTTCTGTGTTTATTTCGTACAACCAGCGCTTGTTTAGATTTCTGTGGCTGTTAGCGGTGAAGACTTCTGAAAAGTTCGACCAAAGTCCTAGCATAACTATTATCTACAGATTAAGTTAAAGGTAGTAAGTATTTGTTTTTCCCGTTAAAGTTCTTCAACTACATGGCTTGAAAGCATCGGGTGCAACTTCTCCCGCTTGTCGGATCTCTCTGCTGTTAAACATTTCACCATTTTCTAATATTATTCAGCCATGGGAGAATTTTAAAACCGGAGGAGTTACGCCACGACTTTTTCAAGTTTAAATCGTAATCGGAAAAGATCCCTAATAGATTAGGAACGAACATACACCACTCAAGTACAACGTATATACCACACGTTTCCAATGAAAAGGACAATAAATTAAATCGTTGAACGCGAAACTGTCTTACGAGCGTTCAAGATACATCGTGATATGAAACAGTACAAATCTAAAAGGATTTTTTTTTTAAGGTGGCGTCGAAACCCTTAAAAGTTCCCATAACATGTTTGACGTCGCTGCGAAGCGTTCAATATCATACAGAATAAAGTTCCAACACTATTTTTTCGCCAAGAGAACACTCCGGACGTGTGCTCATCATCACGTCCGTAAAGTAAAACACAACTAAGATCAACAGGACGTTTTGTTTATTGTTCGTCGGTTTTCCGTAAAAACAAATAATACAATCAATACAATACAATACAATATATTGTTATCATAATATTAGCGTTGACTTTGGTAAAATTTGTACGTACATTGAACGAAATTATATACTCATAACATAATAACCATAGGTACATAAAAAACACGGTATGGTATTGCTTAAAAAATAATAACAAAATGAAAAAAGAAAAATACAAAATAATGTTAAATATTATTTAATTTTACAATGAGTTGTACTTTTAAAAATAAATCGTATAAAAAAAATATAAGTTTATATATAGGTAAATTATAAAACATGTTGTAGTGTGTATTTATTGATCGTTATTGAACGTTTGTATGTTTTATATATATATATATATGTAGTCTAAACGTCAGTGGTCGACGAAGCGTAAAACAAAAATACAGAACGCGTAGAAGGAAAAAGCGTGATGTACAATATTCTTTTGGGGTTCGTACGTTGAACAGTATGTGCGAAACGTTTTACACTCCACCGCCGGTGTTGTAAACACGCGAAGTATATCCGAAAACAACGAACGGATTCGTTTTTTCCGATAAAAACGAAAACTTATTTGCGTTCCAGGAAAACTGACAACAATTGACGCGGCGAGGGATCGAGGAAAAAATCTTGAATCCGGATAAGATGATAACGGCCTGACCGACGTAATAGGACACCGCGTCTCGTTATCACTACAGTACGCTCTAAATATCGACCACTGATCGTCCGCACACGTTTTGCTTTCGTCGTGCTCGACCACGACGTTCTATACAAGTATTGTACAAAACATACGTTTACATGGAATAATGTATATTAATTTGTACACATTATAAATTATGTCTATAAACGCGCATGCGCGCACGTACTGCACACAATAAGGAACTATAGAGAACGTAGTAATAGCTAATAATAATAATAATAATTATAATATTTATAGTTTGGTTTCGGTACTACAAATATTTATTGTATTTATATAGGATGACGTGTCGTATATATTAAACATTGTATACAGTTACTTATAAATTATATTACAACATACAAAAACGTACCTATCTATGCATGTTACCGTATAGCACTGATCACGAATCGAAGCCGAAAAATATGAATAGGTTTCGAACTTTTACTAAGAACAAAATTTATATATATATATATTGTTTTATTTTTTTTTTTTTAGTAAAAGGAGGAAGAATCGATCGCGAAAACAAATTGATAAAATATAATTGAACAGTATCACTACGATCGGAGGGTACGTTTTCACCTAAAGTATACCTTACCGTTTTCCACCGATACCCGTTTCCATCAAATCAATTTAAATTATAAAACTCATTATTTTAACGTATTTCGCACGGTATTATATTTGTTCATACTCAATTCAATCCATATTGAATTCTGCAATGAATTTAATTTGTTGACTTGTTTTAACATTAAAACAAAATACGATAGTAATAATTTAAGAACAGGTGAAGCATTCGTGTATCTTTATAGCGTAATATAATACATCAATATACTTATAGTTCCTAAACCTAAACAAAGTAATGAAATACAAATCAGATTCCTCGTGCGCTTACTCGTGTATGTACTTTGCGATTAAATGAGATAAATCAAAGACAATCTGTTGACTTGATATCATACGACTCTACGAGTATTTCAATCTATGGGCAGTGTATTTTTCATATTTATAAAAAAATAATTCACATTCTTGTAAGTGATATTGAAATTGATTCGGTGAAAACAGGTCTCGATAATTTGGTGGAAAAGGGAAAGTTAAACTTTTGACAAAAGTGCCTACACTATTGTACTGCCGTTATTTACCAATATCTGCAAAGGATTTTCATGCAGAGAACATTTTCTATTTCATCGTGTTTAAGAAAATATATTTACGTTGATCGTTCATTTTGCAATTGCAATTTATCCACATGGTTTATACAAACGTATACACATCATGCTAATAAAATGGTGTACTGAATGTTACAGTCGTAAAATCTGATGAGAAACGAAATATTTTCCACTTCGACTGATAGCGATCGACAGGCCTAAGTATTTACTTGTGACGTAACACCTGGACCTAATATTGACCAGCGATCATATGTGTCTTACGGTAACATATTTTGACATAAAAGTTATATTATAATATATTAGACTATAGTGCACGCTCGAAAGAGTCATGGAAAGGATATAAGTAACATGTACACGGGTGAGATACTATAGTAATATTAGAGTTGCGTACTCACACACACACACACACATACACACACAGACACACACACACACATATATTAATTTTATCCGGAATGATAAAGAATAGTTGCTCGCGAAACGCGATGGGTGGGCACTGGACGTGGATTATACATAATTATTATGGTGGGCGCGAATGCTGTGTCGAATTTGCTGATCAGGATAAATTCGCCAATCAGAATCGCTGTATGTATAAATAGTAAATTTATGTATTTTAAATAATAAATCGACTCCGTATTACGCACACGAGAGGTTTGAAATGCATTTCAAACTTACGAAGACACGGGACACAGTGTCCAATTCGAGAAAAATCATAATATAGTACCCGATAGAGTCATGACTGTTGTTTGCTGAGAGATTAGAAAAAAATAAAATAAAATTTAATAGTAATGTTCCGGTAACTTTTCACCTCTTATCATTACCGTTATTATTATTATTATTATTTGTATAATTTTTTTAACATATTACGTACGCGTTTATTCCTAATCATACATTACCTTATGACGTACCTCACTCCACACTTTGCACTTAAAAATATCAGTAGAGGTACGTTGAATATGTAATACTAGAACAGTCGATGTACTCTATAGTTTTGCCAATTGCTTCTTCGCAATCCGAGCAACGAGTACGAATATAATACACCTACATAAATTTTTCTACGGTACGCCTACTATTTAAACGTACGAGTATGTGCCTGTTGGTTTACGCGAACCTTTTATAAAACTAACACTAAGACTAATCCGACTAGATGAATTTGACCCGCAGATCGAACACGGAAATCAGTTTGTTTTTCCCTTTAACATTTATAGCCGTAAAAATGTACGAAACAATCGTAAAATTTAGTATCCTCCATACAAATCGCGACGCTGTAAACGCTAATAATGTGGTGAAAATTCATGTTCTAATTGGATTTGGAATGCGTTTTTTTTTTTTTAAACGATAACAATACGGGTGTTAAACAATGTTTGGAATATTAAAACATTCGGATTTGATTTTCGCATAAGTATTAAAGACCAAGCAGTTTCTGGTACAAAAATAAAATTGAAAAAAATTACAAAAAGATGATATGTATTATTTATCAAAATACATTTCTTGTCTACAGAACAATATTTATTATAAAGTGATTATTGTATCGATAGCCTGGAGCGTTGATAAAATTAAATGATAATTAATAGTAATTTACTTTTTCCAGTGAAAACGATCAAGGTTTTCAGTATTTTAATGCATATTCCAATTATAATATTTTTAATACACCCGTATTTTGAAACGTGACGGAATATTTATGTTTTTCGTGTTGACGACGATTCGATCGTCTCGTTATATTTATAATCGCAGGTGACAGTGACGGAGGAGGAGTGTTACCAGAGGCAAATCGCATTTCCATGTTGGGTCGTGTACCCTATTAGGTTATATAGCGTCTAAAGGCAAACGACCGAGATGCCGGAACAGAATCAAATATCACAGGAGCGTACATTTTATTTGTATGGATGGTTTTTTCTAAATGTGCTTTGATGCAGTAAAATTGCGTTGTTTACAACTAATGTCGTTGATCTAATGTACAGTTAAACAGTATCCGATTTCTTTGAAATAATATACTACTATGATCTGTCAGAAATGAAAATTATCATAAGCACATTGTGCATTTAATTAAAAAAATATCTGCAGAAACGAATCAAATTAAAGTCGATTTTAATCTGTTATTCTAAACGAGATTGTAGGAGAATTTAGCTATTGTTGTTGTTAACTTATTATTAGTAACTATTATGATTTTAAAATAACAAGACCGGGCGATTTCGATAAATTCATTATTACTCGAAGATATGATTTTAGTTCTAAAATTGCTTTTGTTTGTCTACGAATTATTTAAAAATATAATCCTCTAAAACTATCCTATGTATAATTAAAACCGGAGGCGCGCCACTGCGGTTACATAATTTTCTGATCGCGTAATGTCGTTCACGTCAATATATTTGTATTCTGGTTGTCATAGGAAGCGTGATTTGAGATACGAGGTGATTTGTATATGGTATAAAAGAAAAAAAGAATAATGATGCGCTCACGAAAAAAGGAAAAACGGTTGCGCGTTCCCGTTTAACCAGAGATATGTAACGGCGTGATATGTGCGTGAAATAAAAAAAAATAAAAAAATATTATACAACATTCGATCGGACGTCAGAACTAAAAGCTTTTAGGAAAACGCATTTACGCGTGAGGGACTTGTATTAAGGGCGTCTGACCAAACGCGGTATACTCGTTTGCCGTTGCAAACAGACAGTGGTTAACGACTATTGTATATTGCGTTTATAATTATGCAGCGGACTCAGTACGAATTCGTGGCACTGCATTCAAATACCTAATACTAAACAAATACCGTGGGGTACGAAAGATGACAAAACGACTAATCGGACGGCCCAAGTGTCCGGGGGTACAGGGATACTATTCGAGTTTTTGGGGCTGCTACAACACTACATTGCGCTATTCGTTTCTCCGTACGCGGATCCGTACCGATCCTGTGTGCCGCGATGCCCCCAAGTAAATATATTACGTAATAGCATATCCCGGGGAAACCCTTCGAGTGGTCCGGGACAGTGCGAATCTCGTACGATACCTGTTCGGCATACGTGGTACCACGCGAGTTTGTTTGTCACTGTCTAACGCCGAGAAAAAAGAAAATCCGTCGTGCAAACTGTGGAGGTGAACATAAGATTACGTTTGAAAACAATGTCGATTGCACACGTTCGTTGTCGAATCTCGCGTTTCGCGGCAACCCTGACGGATTTCACGTTGTTCGTGGGAGGGGAAAATTAAATGAACGGTTCGTGAAAAGCCGTCGTCTCACATCGACCGGAGGACGCGTACCACGCTTAAAACGCCGAAGTCGAGAACGTCCGAAAAACGTCGTCGTGGCAGATACTAGAACACACGTGAGGGGATGGGGGAGATCTATAAGTAATCCCGATCGTGTGGCGTTTACAGGTGATCGGTTCGAGATTAACGCGCCGGTTCGATTAATCTTGTAAAACCGCACATTCGGTGTACCAACGATAATACGAGCAAACTTTGTATCGTACTAACAGGCGGTATCGAAAGAAGGAGTCGGTTTTGTAGAACGCGTTTTGAGATCGTCGTGGTAATAACTCGGAGTGTAGGCCCAATGTTGTCGGTGAGGTCGTGAGGCACCGGTGTTCTGCGAGATACCGGTCGTCCAGAGATGACTGCGAAAGGGTCAAATGTTGAACTCGAGTTATCGTGGAATTCGATACATTGCCGTGATCTAGTCGTGTACCGTCGGAAGGCGTCGAGGCGACCGTTCCTTAAAAGATTTCAGACGAAAACGAAACCGGATATTTGAATTCGCGCTGGAACGATTGCGTGCAAACGGCAATCGTCCCTTGGGATTTCATTCGAGGGCGCAAGGTTTACGCTTTTCTATAGCCTCCCTCAACGTGTTTTCAAGCGGTCGAACGGGAAACGGCCATTGTAACGGAACTACAACTTTTATTTCATTTGTACCACGTAATTCATAATTCATTTTCACCAGACTACGTATTCGATTCGCGCGATGGTTAAATTTTAATGTCGAATAAAAAAAAAAAAAGCGCCGTTGGTCCCTTCCCGGAAATCTTGCGAAGAAAGATCGTCATCGATCTCACACCTCATATAGCCGTACTCGACTTCCTCTTCGACCAGGCCACTACGAATGCAGCACAGTGCCGTTCGGTTTTTGAATACTATATGTATCGTATCAAAAAAAAAAAAAAATAAATAAACATATCACTCGATGGCTTTCGATCGTGGCGAACGTACTTCATCCATCGCGATAAATGTACCGCGAAGTACACGTTCATATATTTACTCGGATCCGCGACCAACACGTTTTCGTACGACACCCGCACCACACGATCACTGTGTCCTCGTCGACGTACAAATAATAACAACAACAACAACAACAATAATAACAATAATAATAATTATCATTATAAATTATAACACCACCCGCTTCAAACGTAACTCTCGTGCGGCGGCCTCTGTCTTAGCTTCAGCACTTCCGCGGCCGCGGACATGTTCAACCGCCTGATGATGCCGCCGGCCGCCGGGCCGCGTTCCTCGACCGACGAGATGACGGTCACGCCGTTGCGCTTCATCCGCGTGTACATGTTGGCCGTGGCCGCGGCCATCAACTTCTCGTCACTGCCGCTGGTCACGTCACCGATACCTTTCAGGCTGGACGACGCGGTGGTCGTGGTGGTGGTCGTGCCGGTGGTGGTGGTGCCGCCGCCGCCCGCGTGCGCCGACGTCGTGGTCACCGTGCCCTTGCGGCCCAGGTGCCGGTCCGTCCACGGGCCGCGGCGCAGCCCGCACAGCCTGCGGAACCCGTCGCGGAACTTGGACGACATGAGGTTGTACAGGATGGGGTTGAGCGCAGAGTTGATGTACAGCATTATGCGGCTGAAGAACAGCAGCAGGTAGAAGTTCTCCACGCCCACCATCTCCATGATGTTGTAGTCGGGCGGCGCCAGGATGATCCACAGGATGAGCGCGCGGAACGGCAACAGGCACAGGAAGAACGATACGACCACGGTACCCAGCATGAGCACCACCTGGCGGCGGTACCGGAGCGCCGCTCGGTTGGTGTTGGGCGCCACCAGCCCGGGGTTGGCCATCAGGTGCCGCGCGATGATCACGTACAGCACGGACAACACGACCAGCGGCACCACGAAGAACACCGATATGGTGCCGACGAAGAACAGCACGGGCCACACGGTGGACGCCTCGGTGCGGCACACGGGTACCTGGGTGCCGTCCACGTACTCCTCCCAGTGGTAGTCGGGCAGCCTTAGCATCGGGCTGGAACAAGTAGAAGCGCGCACGCGCACGCGCGCCGTACGCGACGCGCGTGCGCGGACACGGACGTTAGTGTTTGGCGGCAGTACGCGTCGCGCCAATGTGAGACGTGCGCGCGCAGCCAAGTCGACCGAACGGTCCGCGGATCGGGTCACTCTCCGGCGGTTGGGGGAGGTTTATTTTTTAGCGAAAGTTTTCGCCGCCTAACGGTTTTACGACGGAAACCTCGGGACCAGTGCACCGGCAACCAGGGCACCGTAGCAATGGGCTGGCGAGAGGTGCCTGCGCCCCGGGCTCAACTCTCGGGACAACGCAAAAATGAAAATCTTGCGTTTAATGTTGAAAATTACAACGGTCAATGTCACATATTTTGTTTCCGTGATCATTAACATCCTACATACTAATTAAAGCAATCGTTGAAAATAATATCTAATAAGCATAATATTTTTAAATCAAAAATATATGAGGAAGCATTTGGAGGTGTCGCCCCGGGCGCAACGTTCGGTTGCCACGGCACTGGCAGCAACGCGGGGGTGTTGTAAGCTCTCGCGGCGGAACACTTCCGGTACGTGACGCGCGTGCGCAAAGCTCGAATTTTCTAACTCTGCATGAGCTCTGCTGAGGGTGAAGGATCGCACGAACCGCGACTCGTTCGAACCCTCCGTACGTGTTGCGTAAAAATGAACGCGATAAGACGAACCGGAGTCGTCCCACAAACGTCGTAGTCCATCCTGTGAACGACCGTTACGGTTTAGACTTGGCTGCGTCGGTCCCGCGTAAATCATAAGTGCACGCTGCCGGTAAATAAATGTTTTTCAACGATATTATCATTATTATTATTATTATTATTATTATTCTTACTGTACACGGGGGAAAATTCGGAAAAATACGTGTTGTACGTGGGTGTAAAATGCTTCTGTAAACTTACTGACCGGCCATCAGTGACTCTTTACCCTTCGTAACCCTAACCTATCAGAGTTTTCTTGTGGATTCTAACCGAGGATGTTAATCAGCGATCAGTGCGGTTGCTCAAACATTTTATCGGTCTGAATTGAAATACCAAAACACTATAATGTTTGAATCGTAAACAAACTTCTCTCTCGTGTATAGCAAAGTAAGATGATAATAATAATAATAATAATAATAATAATAATAATAATAATAATAATAGTAATAATAATAATAATAGTAATAATAATAGTAATAATAATAACAAGCGATAAGAACCCAAAACCGTTTTTATTGCTCAGAGCTAAAGGCAATCTTAGCAATACAAATTGTACGCGTACAAACATATATTACATTTATATGAAGTTTTAATGTAAAACGGTAGGCGCACGTTTAGACATAGTGTACACACAGTACATTCAACTACTCGTTTTGCACTCGTAGAAAACAAATAAATATATAATTATATATATATTGTCGCATACCTACGGACGACACAAAAACGGTACACAAGACGACGAGTATGCGCGTACGTATACATTGCAGCAAATGTACTTCAGCTGTAGTTTGAAAACTAATCGGAAAATACCCAGCACAATTTAGCAATAAATATATATTTTTTTTTCGTGATGTAGGAATCTATATAACGTATACATATATATATATATATATTTATGTGATACGCTTCAAGCGTTACTTGATATTGTATTATTCTACATTGAACGAGCACCCAGTTGTCGATTAATATTAATATTATCATCACCATCGCGAAACGATATCGTAATGCTGCATTAGTCAGTGGCGCAACTAGGAGTGGGGTTTGGGGGTTTTATCCTTTCCCCCTTCCAATCGTTTACTGAGGTTTCTACAAATTCTACGTTGGAAAAAAAATGGTTTATCTTGAACACGCGAAACGGCCGATTGATAAGAAATATGAACATTATTCGTATTATAATTGATAAGAATAATAACATGGCATCATGGAACGTTCCGTTCAACTTTAAAACATCAATAACCTTGCTACTACGATTTCTCGATAGTCGATTGTATAATACTTTTTTTTTGTGGTATCCCAATATGAAATACAAATTAAACAGTTTAATTTGTAGTTTAAATATTTTATTCATAAACCCAAAATCTTACTCCTTTATAAACACCTGCAGAAAACTCTTATTTTTTCCAAATTCACAACTTCCCGCCGAAAATCAATCCTGGTTGCACCACCGATATTAATATAATTATTATACAAATCAACAATATAAAATTCGCAATAGCAAGAAAAACGGATTACCGATAGGCTTTACTTGAAAAATAAACACATATACAAAAGCGCCTATGGCAACGAAATAACAACATACAAGCGCATATAATGAGGTGTATGATGATGATGGTAATAGTTATAGTAATACGACTTTAATTTGTTTCAGAAAGTCACTCCTAGTCGATCTCTTAAATCATAAAAATATATATATATGTATATAATATTATATTAAAGCCATTTGCATAAGCTGTCATGGTGTACCCGTGTGTAATAAGTAATGTATTAAGTGTAGGAACATAAATTGAGAAACACGTGTTAAGGTGATACTAGGCACATAAAATAGTCGAAACGTATAGGTGAAAGAAGAAATCTGTAACCGTAAAACGAAGAAAAGAGAGCGTAAGAAAAACAGTTTTTATTCATTGGCCGTGCGTCAGAGTGGTAATGATTTATTATATTGTACGAACGGTATAATAATAAAGTAGGGTAGGTGCCGCGGCGCGGTGATTATCGTCAGTGGTGGATTCGGGGTGGTTAAGGCATCCCTTGCGTCTGGACTCCCCGCCAGATATTTAAAAATTGATTTTATAATAAATACATAGATGAGTTGTTCACCACCGCAGTAGACGTACTACTAGTATATCTTGTATGTTTTCGACAGAATATTTTATTTTAACTTATTTGTACTCCCTTAATCGTTTTATACCTTTTTTTACCGTTTTTTACCTTAATCTTTTCGAAACGATTGCGGGCGCATTATATGATAATAATACTTTTAAGACGAAAAAGAACAATTCGCCAAGTTCTGAATCGTATTGTATCCGCATGGCTTATCGATTTGTGGAACCGCCCGAACGAATTTTCGTAATCTACCGCCGACGGTTTTACCGTACCGATTTTCTCGATCGTCGGCGTATAGTGTACAATATAATGCGATGATGATCATCATGCGTACATGGAATGCGGTTCGGGAGTGTTTTCGCGACGTGTGACAACGAGAAGACAAATATCGAACAACGCGCGCGTGTATACCGGAAATGCCGTCACCGACGCCGCTGAAAAATTTGATACTCGGGTCATCTGCCTATATTATTATAATCCGGTCGCGGAATTATAACATAATATGGTTGCCTTTTGTTAGATATGAAAACGTAATATGACATGCACGTCAAAGTAATATATTAGTCTGGAGCAACAACAACGCGTATTACACTGCAACATTCACGTATAGGCCGCCGATTAAATACATTTTATTATAAGAAATAAAAGCCTAGAAAGCCTGTGTATATGACATGTATATGTTATAAAAAAAAATTATAACAACACATCATATAGACAATCTTTCGCAAAAGCGCCGCAGAATAATATAGTCAATATTTAATGTTCTAGCCCAAGCAGCTAGTCATTTTAAATAATTCAGATAAAAGCCTAAAAGTATACGTAAAGAAGAAGAATACAAGGAAAAATCAAATCAAATACTACCGTCTGGTTTCCATTTTTTTTTTTTTTTTTTACAGAGTTCCTTCGTCGTCTTACGGATTCTTCGATGCGTTGAGCTGTATCACACATAACATTTTACTTGATAATTAAAACCAATGACATCGATTTATACGCATACCAGCCAATCAAACGATGCGCGTAGTTGAACATCACATGTATAGATTCAAACTGAATTTTGGCTCTACATTTGCCATAAGTTTGATGAATACAAAAAATACATTTGTGATTTGGTTTTGAATCTGTTGGTGATTTTTTTTATTTCGATAAGTCGAAATATTTTATGTTTATATCTAGGATACTTTTTTATATAGTTATTTATGTATATACATTTTATACAAGTTTAAAATTTTCGATTTTCAAGCGATTGTTCGTCGTTTTTAATTAAATACTTCAAAGAGCTTACAGTTTTTTGATCATCATTACTCTGGTAAAAGATTTATTAGTACTCCATTGTCATTTAACAATTTTAATTTAATTTTTTAAAGGATAATCTAAAAGTAATTGTAGTCTTACAAAATATCTTTATGCAATCTGTTTTTGTCTACAAAAATCATTACTCTGAGGATTTCAAATTTAAATGGCATAACATTTGAAAACTGTCAATTATTGACTGTTTTCACAAATATGTTATTAGTATTGTTTTACAGTGATGAAAACATATTGTTATGAATTTCATTCTAAATTTTAGATTCTAAAAAAAAAAAAACATTTTATTATTTTCCTAGATTTAGTTTATAATTTGTGTTTTATGGCAGCTTGGTGCATTTGAAAATATAAAACCATCGCTCTGCGAATGAATATTATCTTAACGTTTTGAAAACTCAAATTTGTTCCGTTATGATAGTTATTATAGACTAAGATCTAATTTAATTAACGTTTGCTCGAAGACGATAAAACCAATCGTTTGTGGCATGCACATGTGTGGTACAAGTAGTGAAAGACGACGAGCGGGTTTATTGTTGCACCATCGTAATGTTTGCGCTGTTCGGTTTTACAGTGACTACTACATACGAGTGCGGTCTTTAATCGTCAAAAGTCATCATTTACACGTGTGCGATCCTTATAACAAAAAGTATATTTGTACAACATGATTAACGATGATAAAGAGAAACACGCTGTGTCGTACGTGTTTTACGAGCGCGAGAACGACTCTGGATTGTAGTGGTATCCAGTGGGCTTCCCTTTTCGACCAAAACAAAAATTTATATAATAAATTTAAAATGATAAAATAACGATGTACAATATTTGATTATGATGGAAACTACTATAATATATTAATGACGATTCAGGGTTT